CTCTTAAATCTTAGGAGTTTGACTAACATTAAAATCTTTTCTCTTTCATATCTATCTATATCCATATATAGGTTAAAAGTTTGACTAACATTAAAAAAATTTCTTATATATATAATAAAGTAGAACAAAATTTGAATCTAAAAGATAAAGAGAGGTACAGATCGTTTTAAGATCAAACATAAACACATCTAACGGATAATATAATCCCAACATAAAAGACGGTTCAGATCATCTCAAAAATTTTGATCTAACGGTCTACAGGTAGTCCTGAATTTCTTTTTCCGCCCATGGAGAAGCCTCTTATCGTAAGACTCTACACTCCTATCTCTCATACGTCTCTATCTTAAATTTAAAAAAACACAATAACAACTCAAATTGAATTCATTTTAAATTAAATGATTTAAATGTTATATGTTAAAAGTGTAGTATTTGTACCTTGATTTAGGTTGATTTTGTTTAATTTTTAATTTTACGATAAAATTTTGCGTAAAATTAAAAATATTTTTATTAAACACACATAAAATACATAATATCTCTAAGTTTAGTGCTTCTTTTTCAAAGTTTGACAGTTTAACATTTGACCCAAATAATTGCATACACATCGTCACTACAATACAAAAACCAGTACCCAAATAGACAATGCCACCATTTTTGGACATGTAAGTTATTTAGTATATCAATTTTTTCAAAACCTTTGGTATAATATTTCATTAAAAACTATTATATACATACTATATAATTTTTCATCCTTCTTATTACAAATTGATTCATACCTAGAGTACATTATAAGTAGATCTTCTTATCATGTATCTTAGTTCCGATAGTTGATGTTTACTTCTTACTTCTTATCGATCAATGAAATTTAAATTGTCTTTATAATCCATAAATAAAATCATCAAGTTATTATTTATACAAAAAATAAATCATTACTGTATGAAAACCTATAGTTCTCAGAAAATTAAAAAAAAAAAAATCAAAGCCCAAGTTAACCAGCAATTAAAAAAAAATAAGTGACCAATACAAGAAAAATAAGATACTAATTGCATCAACAAAAAATGTTCAAAACTAATCTAATCGCTATGTGTTGCAATTATTCAAACATCCTATCTTTGTGTGTTAAAATTTTATAAGTAACATAGTGTCTTCAGACACGGGCAATAACTAGTATGTGTATATATATATATATATATATATATATATATATATATATAGTAACATTAAAAATAAAAAATAGTAATATTCAAATACAAAAAAAGGGTATCATTTAGACACAAAAAATAATACATTTAAATACAAAAAAATAGTAACATTTAAACATAAAAAAATTGAAACATTCAATATTAATATTTTTAAAAAATAACAACAGTAACATGTTCAACAAAAATATTAACATGTTCAACAAAAATAGTAACATACTTGACAAAAATTGTAACATACTTAACAATAATTATTTCTCTCAAATTGAAACGCAAAAAATAGTACAATTCAAATACAAAAAATAGTAATATTCAAAAAAAAATAGTAACATTGAATATTAATATTTAGAAAAATAATAGTAGTAACATGCTCAATAAAAACAGTAACATGCTCAAAAATAATTGTACATGGACAATAACATATTCAACAAAAACAGTAACATAATAAAAAAATAGTAACATGAATTTGAATTTTACTATTCAAATTCATAGTAACTTTTTTTTGTATTTGAATGTTACTATTTTTTTTAATGTTACTATATATATATATATATATATATATAAGAGAAGAAAAATTTTAATGTTAGTTAAACTCTTAATCTATATATGGATATATATAGATATGACAGAGAAAAGATTAACTTCCTTTTAAGGAATGATATTTTTGAAATAAAAAAAAATTGACTTAAGTCATCATAATTTCAAACATGGACTTATCCCCTTATAAGTTTTTTTGCATGACTTATCTCCAAACAAGTATATCTAGAGTGACTCATTTTTAATTTTCACTATAAATTATAATCCGAGATACCAATAAGGGCCCCTCACTTCGGATTTTTTCCTTAGGGCCCCTATTTGGTTGGCCCGCCCCTGGTTTACCTCCCAATCAATTCTGGCAATTTTTTTCTAACAGAAGTGACCCATTTGCAACTCATGGATTAAACCAAAATAGTTGGGAATTCAGATGGAAAAACTCACCTGACCCAGTCCAATCTAATCCTCTGAACATGCTTACCGAACTTCTTCCATTGTTCTGGTGCTTTAAACCCCACCCCCACCACCACCACCACGCTGTTACCTACGAGAAAGGGTTGTACTAAGTCCAGTAACAGATTCCAAGATTTTTTCTAAGGTACCATGTATTATGCAATAAAAACAAGAAGGCTTCCTATTAGGCATAATGTTAAATCTAGTTGGTATATCATGGAGATAATGCAAACGACAATAGTGTCTGCTACAGATGCGCCACAAAGCATCAAATTCATCTACATAAAACATACCTGTGGTCCTTCGGATACTTCAGCTGAATTAGCAACTGCCACAAATCCAGCATAGGCAAAAAATACCACAGTTGCTCTGACTGTGGTGGTGGATGTAAGGAAGAGAAAACCATTTGGGGGCAAAAGGTAAGAAAACCGAAACATTATCTGAGTCAGGGTGGCGGAGTGGTGGTGGTGGTGGGCGGATTTTATGGTTAGTGTTTGGGTAGTCCCACCAGAACAAGAAAGAAAGAAGATGGAGAAAGAAAACAGATGTTCAGGTTTGTGGGTATTTTAGATTTTTCGTATAATTCCAAAAAAAAAATTAAAAAATTGGATTAAGCAAAAGAGTTTATGTGCAGCAATCGTGTCCGGTCATGTTATTTACAACTTCGGATCATATACATTTCAATTCTACTTCAACTCATTTAATTAATCTTGTAGTGTCGATTTGACTTGTTTATTTTTGTATCATATAACCTACGAATACTAAGGTTTTATTATCACTTAATTGATCGTACACTCATATTTTTTTTAAAAACTAAAAATAATTTAATAAATATCATAACAAAAATAAATAAAAATATATTTTTTTTTGTACACTTAATAAAAAATTTGATATTTTATTCACATAATAATAGTTAAACGTGTTATTTGTATTTAACATTATTCAATTCATTTATTATTTGTGTTTACAAGTCGTGTCATTTACACGATGATATCGAGAAATGGTCAACTCTAGCCCTCTAATTTCATGTCAATTTCAAGTCTTGTTTTTCACGTTGTTCAAAAATTGTCACTCTTATTAGTCCTACTCATACGCCAATTCATTCGATCTCAATTCCGCAAACCAAGAATTTATTTAAGGGTGGACACTTTAATAACAAGTTATAGTTTTTATTCCTTTCCAATGAGTCAACAAAAATTCATCATTGTGCATACAATAACAAGTTTGAAAGAGTTCTAATATATCGGCTTTTCCAACACCATCACCTGATTTTTGGAGTATATTGAAAATGATCTTTAAGAGCTTGTGGCCTGAGTCACAGCAGTATACCTGAAAATAAACTACAAAACAGTCCAGATATCATTATATGCTTAACAACCACCACTAAGGCAATTCATCGAACACCTGGGAAGCAACTTCACACAATATACACATGTCCCCGACTCAACAAGCCCCTCTAACGGGGATTGTGGTGATATTAGTTGAGATGAACAAAATAACAGAGATTTCAAGATACAATTTATGCAATCCGCTAGATAAAAAAATTCACATGTTGCAAGGAAAGTTAAAATCAAATCACTAACGTATGTACACAGAAGGAAGAACAAAAATCGAAAATAATTATCATGATTTCCCTTTTATCGGCCTTCAACATTTGTGACAGTGAGATTGTTGATAGAACACTGTTTTTGACTCTGATGAGAAAGCCATGTCTTTGAAGACATCTGTCTTTCGATAAATGCAGGTTGTTTTGGAGAAGGAAGATCCGTAATTTCACTATTAAGCATTGATAGAACAGTCGAAACATTTGTTCTATCTCTTACAAATTCTTGCACGCACAATAGCCCTACTTGTATATATCTCAGCATCTCCGATCTAATGTTTGTATAAGACATCATTGGATCTACTAGAGCGATAATCTTATCTTCATTCCACAATTTCCATGCCTGAACACATTAAGATGAGAATCTAGTGTTGGATTTGGAACATTCAATGTCGACAAGAATGGTACGGTCATAAAGATCTGTCCTAGCAAAGAAAATGGACTTACAAATCTTAGAAGGCTAAAAGAGTGCTCATCATCATAAAAGCTTGTGTTCCTCCTCCCAGATGTAATCTCTAATATCAACACTCCGAAGTTATAGACATCAGATTTTTCTGAGAATCTTCCCTCCATTGCATATTCAGGGGCCATATATCCGTTGTGTATATCAATTTACCATAGAAAGGAAAAGAATTGTAATGAAGTTGGACTATTGCATGACAAGAAAGTTCATCACATGGAGAAAGATACATATACATACTATGTTCCGACAACCCTTCTAGTATTGGCTAGATCTTGGTTGCCTCCAAAAATCCTTGCCATGCCGAAATCTGAAATCTTTGGGTTTAGCTCTTCATCCAACAAAATGTTACTCGGTTTCAAATCTCTATAAATAATTCTTAATCTGGAATCCCTATGAAGGTAAAGCAGGCCACAACCAATCCCTTCAATGATGTTGATGCGTTTACCCCAGTCTAGGAGTTCTTGTTTCAATGAATCTGAGAGGTTTGTTTTTGAAAGAACAAGCATGAAAAGTTTGTAAGCTGTCAGGAAATTGATGTTGAGAAGCCTGTCATCTTCTAATAGAATGAAGTCAAAAATATCACAGATGCAATGACTCAAAACAACTACAATTGATCAACTAACCGAAAAGAAATGCATCCAAACTTCCATTTGGCATGTATTCATAAATCAACATCTTTTCTTCTCCTTCTATGCAGCAGCCAAGGAGTCTAACAAGATTGCGATGCTGGAGTTTAGAAATCACCAAAACTTCATTCATACACTCCTGTAACCCTTGTCCAGAGGATCTTGAAAGCCTTTTCACAGCTATTTCTTGTCCATCTGGAAGTTTTCTTTGGAAAAATAAGCATCAAATGAATCGTATTTTGTTCAATACCACCTGAAGCCCCGAATGAACAAGCATTACCTTGCCCAAGCTTATTAGCAGCATGAAAGTTGTCAGTTGCTTTTGCCAAATTCTCAAAACTAAATAATGGCAGCTCTTCAAGTTTCATTAGGTGGGTATTTTCTCGAAGAATGTTTCCAGTTGGATCATCAGGAGATGCTTCAGGTTTCTGCTTCCTTCCTGTTGCAGGAACCTAACTATAGGTAATTTTATCTAAGAATTAGTATTTGCAAATACTTCTGAGCTAACTCTAGTAACATACTACCTCTTCGCTTGGCTATCCACCTCCAAGAAATGTAGATGCAGATGACAATGGTAACTGACCCTATGCTAATGATAACTGTCAGTTTTACTTTGATGTTTTTCCTTCATCTGTATAACAGAACAAATTCAAGGGTTCAGCTAAATTGGACAAAAGAAAAAAGGTTGCATTTGGCTGAATGCTTTTGAAATTAAAGGTTTTGAGCTTCGAGTTACAGTCTAGAGTAGTTTACCGAACAAATTTGAGCTTCGAGTTACAATCTAGAGTAGTTTACTGAACAAATTTAAGGCTAAAGTTTTAGAAATATGCCATGACTCAAATCCACTCGCATAACTCGTCAGGGTAGCTCGAATGGGATGATTTCAGGAATTATTATTTCCTAGGTCCCAAATGTAACTCTAACAATAGAGGCTTGGTTTACCTGATACGCCTGATTGGGGATTGAGTGAACGCATTTGAAATTTATATTGGAACGACGAGTCCACAGGACACGTGACTTGGTTGGTAATCCATTGTCAAAAAAACATTGTTCCACATATTCATTAAACACAAAGAAATAGAGGATAAGTATAGCAGTATAATTCACTACAAGATGATAGAGAAGACACTATTACCAAGCTCTGAATATGCCACTCGAATGTAAAGATCAACCCCGCTGCTGGGGAGTTTCTGAATGTCCAGTAGACTTCCACTCCATTGCATACACCCAATGCCTGTGTAATATGAATAAGCTATACAGGAACAATTATTCAAGCATAGGCTTCCACAATTGTCTTCTATAATAGCAGATAACAACTTTCATGCTTGAAAAGGTATGAGAATAAGAGCTTGAAAAATAAGAGCTTGAATAAGGTATGAGAATAAGAGCTTGAAAAGGTATGAACTTTGCATTGTAGAAAAGTCCCATATATGTCATTTAGTGCTACTTCTTGGTGAGGATAGAAGGTTGTATGTGCTGCCAATAGACTGTCAAGAACAAATGTTTAATTTATTCACTTCTACCTCATACTTTTTCATGTGATGACAGATATTTCCTTGAATAAGCAAGTAGGTTGAGACTAAACTCTCTCAGAATTCGGGGGTAAGTTGGACTTAAGGTGCTAATATGTTGTAAAAATTTCTACCTTTATGAACCATCATATTTACCATATAATGCGGAAGGATTAATATTTTGTTTCAGCGCATAGTTTCATTCAACTCAAAAACGGAAATATTTTGAAAACATGATGGAAACATAGAAAATTTTGAAAACTTATTTGTGAAGCATTCCAAATATTAACCGAAACACGTCAAAACATACCCAAACACCTCGAAACCTAGATATTTCGATATTCACCTACTCATTCATTTCAATTTTCATGCAAACAAAAACTTTTCAACCATTTTGACTATTTTAAAATAAAATTTTGACAATTCGTATCCAAACCCCCTCTGGATGCATAATTTTCAAAGGAAGCTTTGAAGTCATACAAACATCAAATAATTCCTCTCCTTTTGGTTTCCTTCTCAAACTGCCAGTTTTTTGGTGACACTGCCTTCTTCTTAAATCAAAGATGGCAATGCCCACATTTGACTGTTGCTCTGATTTTCATAGGATTGAGAATCACAAGTTTTTCATAAGATGGAGATAGTACAAAAGACTTGAAAAAAAGGTGGTTGGGTCCTATAAAAAAATGATTAGGACATGTAGGTTGTGGACCTGTGTTATGTTCCATGGTGATCACAATTCACAAATCTTTCACCTCAACTAATCTCTTCTCTCATTTCGTCAAACGCAAGCGTCAAGTCTAAGAAATTTATGAAGAATAAATGTCTGATAATTTGACCTCAAGATAACGGTTCGAAGTTAGGACATCTAGATTTACCGGTCATTTTTATGGACCTTTGGGTTACAATTCACAAATCCATTGTGTCGGACGAAAACTCTATTTTATATGATAAGTAAAGTACTCATATAGCCCCTAAATTATATCACTAGTTTCAATTTGACCTTCAAATTAAAATCTTGTCTTGGGTGAGCCCCAACTTTATAAATTAACTCTATGTTCACCTTCCAAACCATTCTGATTTTTTATTTTTTTTTAACAGAAGAAACCCACTTGCAACTTACAAATAATGAAGAAAGCAGTAGATTCAGATATGAAGCAACATAAAATAAACCAAATTTGATACAATATTCGGTTTGATAACATGCTACTAATTCTTCTTCTACTTCTGGCAAATCAAAGGGCGATCTTTTACACTCGGCTAGGGAAGAAATTAGAAAAATGATAAACCCTATAGGTTGACGCCACAAATTCCATCCCCAAAAACCATATTTTGATTGCGCATCAACTCAAGGCTAAGGATTAATCCAAAGTGCTCAGAAATTCATATGAAAAATCTCAAACGACCCAACCCAACCATCTCTGACATGCTTACTCGACCCTCTTCTTCTTCCTTTCTTCCTTTGTTCTTGTGGTTTCACAATCCAAACACTAACTCTAAACCCCACCACCACCACCATCACCACGCTGCTACCCAGAAGAAGGGGTGAAGTAAGTCCAGCAACAGAACCAATGCCTATTAACACAGACAAATATTTCAAGCGTTTGACTTGAAAGCTTCAGCCAAAGGACCATCTATTCCAAGAAACAAGAAGGCTTCCCATTAGTCATAATGGGAAGTTCCATTGAAACATTAGGTTGACAACCAAAAACAAATAAAAATTAAAAACAATGTAATAATATATAGACTGCAGTGTCTATAAACAAATTCATATACCTAAAACGTACCTGTGGTCCTGTAGATTCTTCATCTGAATTAGCAATTGCGTCAAATCCAACATATGCAAAAAATACCACAGTTGCTCTGCCTGTGGTGGATGAATGAGAGAGAAAACAATTTGGGGGGCAAAAAAGGTTAGCAAACTGAAACATTAACATTAAAGCTCTCACAACGGTGGATGTGTGAGAGAGAGAGAGAGGGAGAGAGAGACTCAGAGGATAAGGGACAGGGTGGTGGGTGGCAGAGCGGTGGTAGGCGGATTTTACGGTTAGTATTTGGGGGGTGCCACCAGAACAAGAAAGAAAGAAGATGGGGAAGAAGAGAGATGATCGGGTAAGGGTTAGTGGGTCGGACGCACGCACGGATCATAGTGTTGGATCACCTCCATTGCCGCCTTGTCTGGGTCACTGAGTTTGACATCGGCGAGTGAACTCAATGAGTGAGTGTGTAGCCTGCAGATTGGGAGGTTGGTGGAGGCCAAGGCGTTGTTTGGTATTTTTATTTTTATTTTTATTTTTTTTGTGTTTTTGGGTCTGTATTTTTGTTCAGTTACACTTTTAAAGATTTTAAAATGATATTATAACTAAGGAAGATAATTCATAAAAAATTATAATCGGATCATGAATTACTTGAATAAATTGTAACAACTCCTTTACGAGCTGTAACTCTTCATTTGTTATAAAAATTTTAATTTTTATAATCGATCATAATATTTTTATATTGATTATGTTCTTTTTAATTTACCTTTTTGTTATAAATTTTGATATAATATCATCTTTGATACAATATTCAAACATTCGTGTTAATATTACATAGGAGTGTCCATGAGTTAAATTAACCTATAAGACTCGTTATTGTCTTGAAACTCAATAAGTTCTGATAATTGGTCCGTTCAAATCTAAATCCAATATCTTTTAAGAGCAGACTTGAATTTATCTCTAAACTCATTACTCGACCCAAAACCCTCCCAACTCAAGAACCCGACCTATCCGCCCACTTTGTTTGAAAAAAAAAAAAAACATAGAAAGTTGGGTACTCCTCTGAAACAAAAGGTTATTTACTTGAAGAGCAATGCTATTGAGACTTAAAAATTTAACCTAATTCACTGTGATTTTTGGATTGACTATAGGTTCCATCAAATATTGAAATTTAGTGTTGATTCCTATTAAACAACATCATTATGTCAATAAATTAGATTAAATTTTTAGGCATAAATAGTATTACTTTTACTTAAATACTAAGTTGAGTAATCTAGGGTATTATTCATTATTTATTTTTGTCAATTTTGACTCTACTTTTAATTTAAAAATATAATTTATAAAAATACTAAATTAGAAATTTTTTAAATAAAAATATATATATACATAAAAAAAAAGCACGAGCGGACTGCCCAATGAGTGAAGGGTCGGGTTACAGGTATTTTATCCTTATTTAAAATTTTGTCCCACCCGATAAATAACTCTCCTGAACAAGCATTTGAGTCCACCTTACCCAAGTCTAGTTCTAAAAAAATTTTGCACCAACACTCCATGGACACCACTGATATTACATCTTCCCGAACCGATAAATTGATTGCAGAAGTAACGGGCTTTTTGACAACCTCCACTTCATTTCACCCATACTTCATTACAACTTCCAAATACACCACAACTTTATTTTTTTAAAATAATCACTTAAAATAACGAAATAAATTAAATTTATCGAGAAGTACAAAATTGTATAGATACGATCTTCATTGTGTATCTTGATTAATTAGATCGTTCTTTTTTGTGAACTCTTACACAAATTTTTTATAGATAGGTCTCTGAGTATTCTTTAAGCATTTCGTCCGAGAGGAAGAGTTTCTCAAATTCTATGAATTTTTCTAAAATACTATTTTCTTGAATATTATTCAAAAACAATTTTGGATTGTCAAATCTTCATGGGCGGCCCAACACATATTGACATCTAAAGCAGTCGTGATAAAATTATTGTTCCGTCCTCGTCTCCGCTCTTCATAAAATGGTCATGTAACCCATTACTTAATACTTATGGAGGGACAGACTTAGGAAATTGCCATAAATAAATGCTTACCATGACCAAGTAATAGGTCCAATGACCAATGTACAAACAGGTAGCTAGGTACCTTCCCATGCAACTTCGAGGAAGGAGAACCCTCACTCCACCCTGAAACAACCATGAACTTTTGCAGTAAAATGCTGGCAACAAACACAATTTCCTTAAATCTGTACCTTCCTTGGCATCCCCTTCAACACTTTCCATGCACAAACACTTCTATCTCCCTTTACTCCTCCTATATATAGCCCATCCAATCCCTTTCCCTCTCACCATGATCCTCATAAACATTATCAAGTTATCGTATCTAGACACAACAGGATTGACAAAACCGACCCAAAATTGTTGGTTATAGGCTTTTTTGAATTGAGTTAAGTATTTTGAAGCAGGAATTGATCGAGCAATGGACTCGAAAAGTGATGTTGTGTTTGAGGATTTCTTTCCATCCATGGTGGAGAAATTGGGAGCGGAAGAGTTCATGAAAGAGCTTTGTTATGGGTTTCGCTTGTTGATGGATGCGGACAAGGGAGTCATCACTTTGGAGAGCTTGAAGAAGAACTCTGCTGTGCTAGGGCTGGCAGATATGAGTGATGATGAGTTGGAGTGTATGATGAAAGAAGGTGATTTGGATGGAAACGGAAGCTTGAATCAAACGGAGTTTTGTGTTCTTATGGTTAGGTTGAGTCCTGATTTGATGAGAAAATCAAGGAGGTGGTTAGTAGAATCTGTAATGAATGAGTAGTGAGCTTTGTAACTGTGTTTTGGACTTTCTCACTCTCTCTCTCTCTCTCTGTATTTGATTCAAGCTTTATAGTAGATGGTTCCTCACTATAACATTCTAGCTTAATATCCTATCTCCTCGAGGATGCATCCAGATAGATCGTAACGTTTTACTAATAGTTCTTTTTTTTTTAATTAAACCTCGATTGAGCGAGAACCCACTTTATTGATAAACTAAGATAAGATCTTGGGGATTTAAAAGCAAACGTTTTACTGATATAATCATCTTTTTTTCAAATTAAATGAGAGAAAAAAATAATCTAGAAATGTATAACAGCTAGATAATTTTGATGATTAATCAAGTATACATTGATCAAACAAAAGAATTTCGAACCTTAAATGGCCATGAAATATGTTTGATCAAACTATAATTTAAGCAGGTAAAGTCTAATTATAGGGGCATAGCTCTTCATAGAAAATTAGAAAAACAGCAGTTCTCACAGCAAGGCTTAGGCCAATGAGACTAAAACTCCGTTTGGTAGGAAATATGAAAAGTAGAAGGTATAAAATTTTTTTTTTTAAGAAATAAAAATAAGAATTATACACTTCCCTTCTTTTCTGTTTAGTAGGATAAATGGAAAATCAAAATGATTAATTTTTTTTTTTTTGTGCTTGGTAAGATGCAAACAATATATTTTTTTATTTTTTATTTTAAATTTTTTTAAAAAAATATAAATACATATTTCATCATTGTATTTATATATGAAATTAATGTATACATAATATATTTATATATCAAGGATATATAGACAAATAAGATACTTTTCAACACAAATAATTAACTTTTCATCTACTTTCCTTCTAATTTTAGAGGGATTGATTTTGATGAGTGAAAAGAAAAACTCATTCATCCATTTTTCTATTTTTCTTCCTCACCAAACATGATGTTTTATTTATTCTTCTAATTTTCTATTCTTCTATTTTTTCTTCGTACCAAACGAGACTAAGGCGAGACCCCAGTTCTCAACCTCGACCTACACGAGGTTTTAAAACTCAAATTTTAAAAAATTTGTTAAGTTCTTAGTAGCAATTTGTGGCCTTTTCTTCTTTTACTTCAAATAGCTTTTAGTCTCCTTAATGGATGGAAGTTCTTCAAAAGTATGAAAAGCCAGAGGACTTTGAAGTTAATGTTGATCAAAATTAAAATGCTCAATATGATTAAACTAAGTAACATAAGGTGGTATTGAATTGAATACAAGTGGTCAAGTGCTTGGGAGTTTTGTAAGAGCAGAAGCCTCACACAAAATGCATATCACAAAAGCATAAGACTTGAATCTTTTATTAATTACCATGCCATCCATCTTTCCTTCAATATACTTTTCTAGAATTCTTCATGGTATTTCAAAAATCCTTTTTGAATTCAAGGTAACATTGAGAGATATAAAGGTAAAATATACTTGATTGGATTTGAATCCTCTCAAATACACTTTCTTTAAATTTAAACAATGTTGAATCATGTGACATGAATTCAAATATGACTCACCACATATAACTTGAACCAATATACGTGGGGCGCTCTATGAAATCGATCGTAGTGAGTAAAATTCTTTCAATTTTATGTATTAATAGATATGGTTAATTACATTGGAGGTCACTAAAATATAGAGTTTATCTCATTTTAATCCACAATATTTCAATTACATCATTTTTTATTTCTAAAATATTGAATATATTTCTATATGGTCCTCGTAAAGTCTATTCCCATAAAAGACCGGGCCTTGTCCAGTGACGTTGCTAACCTACATACTCCCAGTCCCCACCAGACAGTGCCCTCTCTACCACCCACTAAGGAAAAATTTAGACGAAGCAAACCACTGGTGTCCCACACCTTTGCATCAAAAGTCACTTGCCATTTTCTGTTTGACAATAGCAAGACCTGTCCTTTGCCTGGTAAAGCATATAGGAATCAAATCATCAACACAAACAAACAATTCTTTCTCTGCAAATGTGAGATGGACCTCAAATCAAAACCAGTCTGACTGGGGGATGTTGACACAACCTTCTCTAGCAAGACAGATCTCAAAACCTAAAATTCATTAAAAACCATAACTTCACCTTGTTCACTCCTCTTTATGTCCAAACTTCCACCCGACAGCAGCAAGCGCCTTCTGTCCCTGTCCTCCTTAATCCTTCGGGATGGAAGAAAAGAGAGAAGAGTGGCCCTTTTGGCTACGATAAACAAACACCACACACTAGCTACATAGCATATAACTAAGTTGCATCAAGCTTACACAACATCAGTTAACAATTCGTCTCCCAACATAGGTGATATCCAAGTGATTACAAAGCTAGAATAACGTGTTGTTTAGCACAAGGAACACCACGTACTGAAGATTTTGAATGTGCTGTGTGCACCATATGATACAGAGCTGTAAATGCAAATCAGATTTTCAACAGCTAGTGCACGTATGATCAATTAAAGCGAGCACGCCAACATCACTTGTCACACAAACTATGACTTGGGGAATCAAGAATAATGGAGAAAAGTAAGGTATTTATTCGTCCAATAAGGCACCTCAGACACCAAATTTATGTCTATCAGACAAAGAAAACAGACAATCAAACCCTAAATGACTTCCAGGTTACATCAGCAATTGAATCCCTGAATGGTTCGTTTGGTTTACAATCCTGCAAACAAGGTCAAATTTATAAACCACACCTTAAGGATTGAGAAAGAACACAAAAATATGTAACTGCGTAGTAATGCAGAGCAATGCTAAGCTGCCAGAATACATAAAATTATTTTACCTGTACTTGCATACTGATTTCGCCCATTCGTCACAAAACCAGGTCATCATATTAATCCGACAACAAACAATGAAGTCACCAAAGCATCAAATATACTTTCCATTCAAAAAATTCACACTATATAACACAAATTAAACAAGAAGTTGCATAAAATTCAATAACAAGACAAAGTTAATTACTTGAAATAATCATTGCTACGAAAACCAAATCGAAACATCAAATCTCATCTCCATCAAACAAAATAAAACCAAAAATCAGACAATCATACACCAAATTACATAAACAAACCAAATAACAATATTTCCAATCAAAACAAAGTCAATTACCTTCTTCATGCAATCCCAAAAAACCAACCAACCCAAAACATCAAATATGGTTCTCTCTTTAACATATCCATCCCAATTCTAACCTAACCTAACCTGCAGTTTTATCTGATGCATCATGATAAACCAGCTCCTCCTCCGGCACTGGATGTAACCCTTCACCCTCCTCCCCCACCTTCTCAGAACCCACACTACCATTTCCAACACCTCCATCTCTCTCATCAGGATACCTGACAACAACCACAGGAAAAACACAATGATGCACACAATAATCACTCACACTCCCAAGCCTCCCCTTCGATTTCCTCCTCGAAGCCCCAAACCCTCGGCTACCCATAATCACTGCACTTAATCTCAACCTCTCCACCTCCAAACAAAGCCTCTCCTTCATATCATGATCCTTCACTATATGAATCTTAAACGGAATTTGAGCTTCAACCAACGGCTGAGCCAAGTCATTCGCTTTCGTAGTAGTAAAATTGTCGAAATCATCCTCTAACTTCTGCTGCGACTCTTCGTCGGTGGTGTCGATGGAGAGATCGATAGCGCCCCAATCGGCACCATAGAGCACGGAGGTAGGTCGGACGTGGAGGAGGATCACGGCGTCGCCAGGGCGGAGGTAGTTTTGGACTGCCCAGTTCACGGCATAGGCGCTCTCGTCGCTAAGATCGACGGCGATTGCGATTCTCCGATTCGCTCTGGACGCTGGAGTACCCGATGGGAAGCGAGGGGAGGTTTGTTGGTGCAAGATCGCCGACGGTGGACGCTCAGATTCCGGCGGTTTCTTCTGTGTCGCCATGTCGATGTAACAAAAAAAAAATTAGTTTTTTTTTGTGGATTTTGATGTGGGAACGTTGTGCTTGAATTGTGTTTGAGACTCTCCGAGGTTGTTGTCGACTGTCGAGGGTTTTGTGTCCGGGGAAGAAGAAAGGTTAGGGATGGACATCACTTGTGTGTGATCAACCTCACCGAATATTCAGTGAGGTTTCAGCATGTGATTGGATTTTCACTAAAAACAATCGGAAGATTTCACTATAATAGAATAGAATCTAATTTATTTTTAATTATTATTAGTGGTTTAATAATGAATTTTACAACAATGGAACTTGTTAATTTAGTGATTATACTGAATTAGGTCAACCTATTTTTAACCAAATAAGGTTATTTTGGATTTATCACACCTTTAGAGTTTAGGGATGAATTTGCTTAAGGAATTAGAAAACAAATTATCCCAAATCAAATTGAATTTTAGTTGATCATGGTAACTTATCTCCTCCTTTCAAAGTCTAGAGACGCGAGAAGGCGGATCAACACATTCAAAGAATAAACTTTAAAAAATACAATAACATTGACAATAGATAAAAATAAAAATAATCGATAAAAATAATGTTAGCCATTAAATCTCTAAATTAAATTCAAATAGAATATTTCTTAAATAATAACAATAGGCAAAATCTATCACTTTACGTCTAAGCCATTTAAAGTTACAAAATAAAAGATGATTATTTTTAAAAAAGAAATAAATATTTTCAAATGAAATTTTTTCCTGCTCATATCTTGTAAATCCATTGTAGGGTCTATTTAATCACAAAAAAATTGCATATTTTACGAAGATTTTGAAAGATTTGTGAAGTTTTTATAGGCTAAAGATCAATTGTTCTTTTCACATTCTTACAAAAATATATATTATTAATAAAGGGCAAGCCAAAGATTTGGTATCTATTCTTACTATTTTATAATGGTCTAGCAATAATTCTATGTCTAAAGATATTGTACACTAAAAAAAATAAAATTTGAGCATTGACGGTGTAATATAAATATTTTAAACAATAATTTATATTTTTCTTTTTTTAAATGACACAACTTTGAATCAATTTGAACCCACTATTTGATGGGATGTGTTCGGGTGGGGTGCAAAAAGCAATTGAATTTTTTATGCGAAAGAGTTACGGGAAAAAGAGAAGTATGGGGTTATGATTCGTTTACTAACTGCGTGTAAAAGGGAGTTTTGAGTTGGGAAAGGGATTTTTTTTTTTTTTTGAAAACTAAATTTGGATCATTGAATTGAATGAAATGTAAATTGAATTTAATCTCCATCACTCTTGTGGGAAGTTAAATTACAAATTCAAAACGAATTGTGTTTTATTATATAGATTTGAAAGGATAATTTTGTATATTAGATTCTTGTAACTTGTTCTAGCGGGTTGAGTTGGTAGGGTTGGGGTTAATTTATGTCTCTAATTGTCCTTATAATGTACTTGCAAAATTGATCTAACGGCCAGATCTAATTGAGCTAGACCTAGTAAATCAAGTGAGCCTAGATCCGCTAAGAAGGCAGGCTAAGCTCGGTTTATCAATTTGATCCAGTCTAAGACCTGAGTAGTCTAGAAAGATAAGAGCACGTGGGGAAAAGATCATCGAGATATTCACCCTCGAAGATCAAGGCTACCTTAATTGTAGTTACCTTTTATAACTATTCTCCCCGAAAAGCTAGTGCCTTTATCCTCACATCACTGTCTCACCATGCCTATAAATTGTAAGATCTCTGTATTGAAAAAGACATCTCAGTACACATTGAACTCTATTTTCACACCTCTCTACATGCACATAACTTCTCTATCTCATAACTATTGTATCTCTCCCGGAGCTAACTATTACTCTCTTTCTCGTTTACCTTACTTCATGTTGTCCTTTTTCATAACGGAGTAGGTCATTCGAACCGAACCACTATATATCTATGTGTTGACTCAATATTTATATAATTGTCATTGATTACTTTATTTATTCTCTATTAATTACATTACATCAAACACTCAACTATTGATCTTGTACGAGACTATTTTGTGCATCATTACTATCGTCTAATTCTTTTTAAAAGACTATCCTAGATGATTCGAGTTGCTATGGTCACATTTAGGTGGGGATTCACTTTGGTTTCCCTCACAATCCTTTTTTTAAACCAAAAAAAAAAATACTTGTTAGTTTGGAATTTTGACCAATTAAGTAGGGTGGTCTAGTGGTGATATTGACCTTACTCTTCATCCAGAGGTTAGAAGTTCGAGATTTAGAGTTTCATTAGGATTCGATGGTTGGTCGCTATGGTTCAGGCACAGTTAAAAACTTTATGATCCCATCAGTAGGGCTGTCAAAATTCAACACGATACGATTAATCTACACGAATTGACATGAATTAAGCGAGATTGACTGAGATCTTAACGGTTTTAAGTGATAAACGAGTTGACACGCAAAATACGTTTAATAAACGGATTGTGTTTGGGTGAGACCTATCAAACTGTTTATCACACGTTTACCCGTTTAAATAAAATTAATATAATAATAAATTAATAATTATTTTAAAAAACTAGTAAGAAAAAAAGAAGTAAAGTAATAATTCAAAGACAAAAGAGAGGAGATAAGGAACACTTCAAAGATAAAGACAAACCAATGCCTTTTATTTTTGTCTCACATTGAAAAATGAGGGGAGATAAGGGGGTTGAATTGCCTATAAAAAACAATGATCTCTTGTTTTTTTTTTTAAGCTTTCAAGTCTCATTTTTATGAGATTTGACAAAAAATTCATCTTTTTTAAGGTAAGTGCAATTGGTAATAAAAAAAATGGAGTATTAAAATTTGTTAATATAATTTTTTAAAATTAAACGGGTTAAACGAATTGTGTCGTATTACCCGTTTATTAAACGAGTCGTGTTCGTGTTGAGATTTTTTATCCGTTTATTAAACGTGTCGTATATGAGTTTATACATTTTTCACCTGTCACTCGTTTAACCCGACACGTAACTGTTTAACCACGTAACTGAACCTGACACGTTTGACACCCTTATCCACCGGTGAGGACCTAACGGGGTGGTCGTTAAACGCTTTTCCTTGTTCCCACCTTATTTTTTCAATAGCAAAAAGATAAAAAAAAAAAAAAAAAGTTTGGAATTTGGAGTGTTAAAGTTGTCCACCTAATTTGATCTCGAATAAGTTGTTTTTTGTAATTCAAGCCGATGATATTAAGGTTAAATCGAGTAATTCCTCGACTACATTATAGGTTAATAGTTATGCGTAGTAGCTGATTCTTTCCTTTCGTGGGTCACCACCCCGCTGTGACTTTATCACCGTCACCACATACCGCCAGTCATTAGGGACTGTTTGGATAAATACCACAACCATGAATGATAAATCCTCTATTTTCTAGGGTTTTGAATTTACTCTCGATCTATTTCTTCTCTCTTTCAAATTAAATTCTCCACAGTTTTCCTCTCTGAATTAGCTTTCTCTCATCGATCATAGACTAGGGTTCTCGAAGTTTCATTCAAAAGATGCCTCAGAGACACTCGAAGAACAACAACGATTTAGCCTTCTTCACCTACGATGAGAAGCGAAAGCTAGGGTACGGAACTCAGAAGGAGAGACTTGGCAGAGATTCAATCAAACCATTTGATGCTTGTTGTCTCTGCTTGAAGACCTTCATAGACCCCTTGTGTTGCCAGAAAGGTCATGTCTATTGTAAAGAATGCATTCTGGAGTGCTTGTTAGCCCAAAAGAAAGACATTCAAAGGTTTGTCTCTTCTTCTATCAATTTAGTCGCCAGATTTTTAACAGTAGCTTTTGATTTTGTAAATTCAACTCGATATCATCTGTATTGTATTGCATAATGAATAGATTCATTTGGTATTAACATGTATTTTAATGATGGATTGTTTGTTGTTTGATGTGGTGATTTCCGGGTGTGGGATTATCTGGGGACATTGTATTAGAGATATGATTGAATCGGTTGAGATTCCTCAATATCCATAAAGCTGGATAAGATCATATGATGATAAGCATGAGTATCGTGTTATCTTGTAATCTTATGCAATTCTTCACCCTATAAATAGGGAGGGATGAATTTTTTGTATACAAGTCACCATTAATAATACATTGATGTAGCCCTGTGGCGTTTGGTCCGTGGATGTAGGCATGATATGCCGAACCACGTTATTCTTCGTGTTTCATTTTTCTATTTCCTTCCCTGTCTTGAATTTCTCTTAATTATAAAATTCTATACATTGCACTGATGATGGTTACTGATTTACAGCATCTTGAGGTGGCATTCTGCTTATGAATGGATGCTTCAATTTGGTTGGTTCAATGATTGCCCTAAAAACGGAACATAATCGAGTTTCTAACACGTTTGGGAATACGGAATTGCAACCCTGAAATTGAACAGAATAATTAGTTTGTGATCCTTTCCAGAAACTTAGTTTAGCATCCGATTCAAATTCCAAAACCCTGGAACGCTGATGTTAAATTCAGCTTTAACTAATGGATTGGGGTGAAAGGAAAAAAAAAAAAAAAGCAAGGCGTTTCTGTCTGTGGTTTTGAACAATGTAACTTAAGATTGACTTTGTGGTGATTATGTTATAAGCAGCTCACTGAAGCACTGGGAGCTGCATAAGTAGGCCTTGTCTAAATTATCTTTTAAGGGGAAAATATGTGAATTCATGTGAGAGAAGAAATGAAAGGTCTTACTGTTGACAGTTTCTTATTACTGCCAGATGATTGTCTACAGTTTATGGTGGAGGAAACTTGATTTTGTAGTATACATGTTGATATCAATATTTAATCCGTTGAAATTGGATTGAGTGTGTTGTGGGAAATGAGCAGCAGCCAGGAAACTCAGGACCCACTCCCACTAAAAAAATCCTCAATCTCAATTGTATGTCAGAGTGGAGTTGGGTATTGAAAATTTCATAATAGAGAATATTTAGCTTCGATTGGTACCTTTGTTATGTGAATTATAGTGCGCCTTGGTCCTAAGATTTCATTTTTGCTCTAGAAACTGGAAAATCTTGGATAAGAAAAAAAAATTGGGTCCAAAATGGCTGCATCATGAGAAACTGGTGATTTTTGTTGGAGTTTGTCCACAATTCATTTACTGTAGGCTATACTGACCTAATGCTTGTACCACTAATTTTAAGTTCCAAGAGATCTAAATACCTACAATATTCAGTCTAAAGTGGTCTGATGTCTGCCTCTAAAATGTCATCATATTCACACAATTTGACCAGAAGTGAGGTGATACATTTGTCAAATCCTTTTTTTGGGTTGGTTTTGGGGGCGCGCAAGTAGCCACCTCTGCCTTCAATCTGAGAGAGAGATGAATGTTTGACCTCATTTCTTTTATAATTCCCTATTTTCACGTTTTTAGTGAAATATATGGCAGATAAATGTCATGTTTGCTGTAGTGGTGTATATTTTACTTTTTGGGGGGCATTTTGGTTAGAATGTTGCAACTTCGTCATTTTATTTTGTTTGTTCATAGTTTTCAGGATAGTCCCATAATACTCTCGTGTCACCATGATCAATTTTGATTTTTTTTTTTTTGTTTTTGGGAGGAATTGGGTAAAAAAATCTTACCTGGAATTGGAGCCATCGCCTATGCATTAACCATGTAGAATACTGTTAAAACCAATAAATCACCTTCAGTGTTTCATGCAGATTAAAACCTAAAAATCCCTTTTTTTGCAATAGAAAAAATTGTAGAAAAAGGTCATGTTAATTGCTCGCTCTATTTTTGACTTGATGTATGCAAAATGCATGTCTTAGGCACATTCTTTGCTTATTACTTTGTTTTACTTTGTCATTTACTTGGTTGGCGCTGCCCCTGCCCTGAAAAGAATGTTATTACATATTTGACAGGAAACTGGCTGCCCATGCTGCTCAGCAGAAGCAAGGAAAAGAGGAGGAAGAAGAAAGATTAATGCTGCAGAAAGCCAGAGAGCTTGATGCATTTGATCAGCAAAATCATGGTGCAGTCCCCCAGTATAACGATAAGAGCTATAACAGAGACAAGAATGGCTTTCATGGTGCAAACAGTGTTAAGACAACTTCCTATGAGGAAGAAGCACTCCGAACCATGAAAGCATTTTGGCTGCCCTCTGCTACACCGGATGCACCAGCTAAAGTAGAGGCCCCCTCCACCAGCACAGTATGCCCGGAAGGCAAGGAAAAACTAAAGCTGAAGACTCTGTTCCCAATCTACTTCACTGAAGACACAAGTGAAGAGAAGAAGTCCAAGTCTCTTGATAAGATCTTTGTCTGTCCTAGCTGCAAGGTCACTCTGACCAACACACTAGCACTTGTTGCCTTAAGCTCTTGTGGACATGTCTTTTGCAAGAAGTGTGCGGACAAGTTTATGGCTGTCGACAAGGTTTGCCTGGTCTGCAACAAAGCGTGTAAGGAGAGGAATCTGGTTTGCTTGGAAAAAGGAGGTACAGGCTTTGCTGGTCACGATGATCATCTTGAAGCAAAAGACTTCAAGCATTTGGGGAGTGGTTCGGGATTGGGACTGGTGAGACCTGCAATGAAGACGTGATCTCATTCAGTTTAGTCTAGGCGCTGATCCCATGCTCTGATGCAATTTGAAGGTGCTCCTGGCGTCCTATACACTTGCGTGTTGTTTTTGAGCATGTTAGTATATATGGTAAACTTGATGGATGGGTATGGCATAACCTACACAATATGCAAGTTTCAGCTGGTAATGGTGCAATTGATTTCTCGGACTCGAGCCTCGTGCACAAGTTTATCATACGGGTGCTAAAACATTGTGGTTCTGTGATATTATTATTCGAGGTGATCTATCTCTGTCCGAGTGCAACCTTCTCCTTTCGTTTGTTTTGTTTTGTTTGTAACAGAAGGCGTTGTAATGTCATGTTTCTATGCTGACCAGTGAGTCAATTTGTGTTATTTACAAATGCATCTTTGCTGTGTATACTACTATACTGGTGCTTCAGAAGTTTTTTTTTTTTCACTTTCTTTTTTTCAAGAACTTTTATTTATTTAATCACTACACAATATTTTATCCACTCATATTTCACCGCGTGTCTCATGCGACCACCCATTCATTCCATTAATTGACTACCACTTATTCAAATTTTAATTTTTTTTATTTGCATCGTCCCACAATTAATATAATTCTTTTTCAATAGAGTAATGTTATTTGAACTTAAAATTTTGACCTAATTTGTTAATCTAATGATGTGACTTAATAGGAATCATTGGATCAATATCAATTTTCAATATTTGATGGGGTTTATAGTCAATTCAAAAGTCATAGTGAATTAAGTCAGCAAATTAGGTCAAATTTTTAGGTCCTAATAGTATTACTCTTGCACGGTGTTGCTGTGAGTATAGGGTATTTTAGGCTAATTATAATTAATTCTAACTTTTTTATCTTATGCATATTGAATACCAGAATCAAAATTAATCTCATCTTGTCTTGCCCAATCTTACACCATTATCTCCCTTGTGAGGGATTGAACTGAAGTGGACTTTGCTTATCCCTTTCAGTTCTATATCAAAATCAAACATGTTCATCTAAAGATAGTTCGACTGATAATAAGAATGAATTGTAAACTCAAAAAAAAAATTAGTTTAATAACGCGTAAGTTGACTTGAACATCTTTAATCCCAAACATGCAAACAAACAAACATGCATGCCTTTGCAGGAAAAGAAGGAACCGTGTACATAATTGCACAAGTCGGCATCTCAATAATAAGAGGCGTTTGTTAGAGCATTCCTCGATTGGACTTATCTTTGGAGGTATCAAAAGATTAATCGGCTGCAGTATCTTTTCTTCTTCCTTTCGTTTTTTATGTTTAAATCACACCTAATATGGACGGAAAGTAGTAACTTTGGAGGATATGGACAGGTTAAGGAGTCAATTTGAGTTGTTTAATCCCCGTTATAAAACCTTCAACCTGAATATTGTCTATGCTTACATATTTGAACTCAATATTGAAATCTTGTTATACAAGTTGGACTGAAATTGGGTTCTATTCATGTTTTATTATCAAGATATATAACTCAAGTTTAATTTGGGTTGAACCCGAACAAGTCTTCGAGTTACACAACTCAGAGTAAAATTTGAGTTGTTCGAATTCACTAATTCAAGTTGGGATTGAGTTATTAGGTCCTAAGAAGTCGAGACGCCAATTTAAACTAATTCGGATTAAAAACTTTATTCAAACTCAACTCAAATACTAAAAATCTCTATCCAAATATTGAATTTTTTTTTTGGTCAGACTCGATTTTGTTTCAGAGTGGCCAGCCCAACTTGTTTATGACTTTTTAGTATTGTATCTACGCACTAGGGATCGTGGGCTGGCTGGGAGATTTAGGTGATACACATTGCAATTTATTGAGATCACAAACTTATCGGAGATCATTATGGATTATTGGACATTATACCCCGAGTTTTAAGAGCAATTTCTAATCATAAATCCATAACAATTGGTGCAAGAAGTAACTAGCACGTCAAGTATGAGATGAAACAAAGTATGAGTTGCGATTTTTTGTGATCGAGCCCTAGAATGAATGATCGATAAGTTGAATTAAAATGTCTTGGTAAATATAGAAGTATGGTGCCAAATCATTGAATACCAATAATGAATAGAGTTATCGATTATTGTTTGATCAGTGTTGATAGAATCGATGTCTGAGTATGGAAGTTTGTTGAAATGTTACTATCCCTATTAGTTAAACATGAGACTTAGATATATTTATATGAATTTTTGAGTACTTTTTTTTTTGTTTCTTGTAATATATATATTTGGAAAAACATAATAAACATTAAAAAGAAGAAACATAGGTTATGCAAATACTTTGCGTGTGGTCTGAAATGGTAGGTTTGAGAGTGACACCACACTTGCTTTTTAGTATTGTATGTATTTACTTTCTTGGGAAGGTCAAATTTGTAAAACCAACATCCAGGCACATGGGATGGCTGAGAAATTTTAGGAAAAGTAGAATATGCAACTTTATTGAGATCACAAAGCTTATCCAAACACAACCTCCCCGTATAGTTATCAGTCCCAATCCACCAGCTTGTCTCTTTGAGGACTGCTGACAAGAAAGCATCCACCACCCTGCATTAATGTACAGTTCAAGCTCCTTTATCACCATATATTATAATGCATATCTCTAATATAATTGCGTATAAGCATGTACGTGTTATTCCAGATCAGGTTGATTGATTGGCTAACTAGTGTTAGAAGACCATTTACTCCCATTCCGAGGAAATACTTTATACTAGGTGGGTGGTGGGTGGTGGCTAGTGGTGGATGAATGATGAGTGATGATGGTTTAACTTGGGGAACAATTTAGTGCAAAGTTTCAGTCATTTAAGGAGGAGTGGATGCAAGTCTAAATACTTTATAATAAAAAATAAAAAAAAAAGTTTGTTATCCTAAAAAATATCTTAATTTTCATTTTGTATTTTAAAAGATTATTTTTATTTTTTACATAGCATCCTAAATATCATAAATTAATTACAATGTGACTCTCGTATTAATATTCATTTCAAATTCCATTAAAAATTGATATACTTGTCGTTCACGTGTGTTGCTCTTGAGCAAAAATATAAATTTACTGTTCATATTATTAGGTAACATATGAAGCAATTTTTAACATAATTTAAAACAAATGTTAATCTGAGGGCTATATTAGAACTAATTTATGAAATTAAGGGGTGTAAAATAAAAAAAAATAATCTTTCAAGGTATAAAATAAAAATCGAGATATTTTTTATTTTATTAGACTATATTTTGTTATTTGACTTCTTCTTCTCCTTTTTTGTTTTTTCCAAATAAGCTTAAGGATAAGGAAGTAATTGTACCACGTATGTCCAGTGCAAAGTATCTTAGAAAAATATTAAATAGACTTAAAAATTTGACATAATATTGAATAGATAGTGAATTTTAATAAATATTGAAATTTATAATTAAATCAATAAAAAAAATATAATAATCACATTAACGAGTCAGATTTTTAAATCATTTTTTTAAAATTTGTATAGTATATCTTTTGACTCCGATAATGGTTATTGTGTCATACTATATTTGTAACGTCAAGGGTGTCCGTGTTATTTAGTCAAATTTTAAGCGGTGCAGATGAAATTTATTTTGAAAAAAAATATAAAAAAAACTATGGGGGTGGAGCATTAATTTGTCTGTTGGGGGTAACGGGAAAAAAAAAATCCAAGCAGGCAAACCTATTGTCTGGTGCTGACGTGGCAACACCTCAACCGTCGTAGTCTAGGACCCACATTCCATTATTAGGCGCCAACCTAATCCAGCCCAAAAACCTCCACTCTCTTCGTCCTTTTTGGTTTTTGCCGAATCGAAGAATCGCCATTCGCCGCCACTCTCTCTCTCTCTCTCTCTCTCATATTGGTAAATATAAAGAGGGGTTGCTGGGCAAAATCAGAGAGAGAAAGGGGGCTACCCTTACAATGGCGGAGTCGGAGAAGCTAGACTTCGCCGGTAACGGAAACGTCGTGGAGGAGAAGGAGGAGGAGGAGTTGTTGTTAATGGAAGGAGTGGCGGTGTTGGATTTCGATTTGTTGTGTTCGACGGTGGCTATGCAGACTAATCAGGGAAAAATGAGTAAATTGGATAGTCTTTATGATGATGAATATGGTGGTGGAGAATCTGGGGGTGTTCTGAGGATGTGGGAAGGTCAGCTTCTCGATTGCTTTGATGACCGCCGTATCGCTCTTCAATCGGCGTGGTAAATTTTCTGTATTTTATAATATTTTTTTTATATTTTTTTTTTGAATTTTGGTATTGTGTTTACCTTTTTCTTCTACCTCGTTTAATCAGAGGTTTATAAAAATAATTTTTTAAATTTTTTTTTATTCTCAGTGCTGACCATTTCTTCAATGAAAAACTGAGTTTGAACAAAAAAGGGAATTCTTTGTTTTTTTTTCTCCCTTTGAAAGTATAACCAAAGTTTTCAAACTAAGTTGAAATTTAGGAGTGAGAGCATTATCTAATTTTATGATGACATATTACATGTTTATGGATTCTGCCTCCAATTGACTTCCTTTTAATGAAATCATACTTATGAAAAAGTATTATTAACTAATATATTCGAGAAAGTGATGTTAACATTATAATTTTAAATGCCCTGGACATTGTTTGTGTATTGAGGTTGTTTGGTGTTGCAGTTGTCCATGCTATAGATTTGGGAAGAACATGAGAAGAGCTGGTTTTGGTTCCTGTTTGCTTCAGGTAAAACGTTTTTGACTTCTTTGACAAATGCTAAGCACTAGTGTTAGGCATTAAATGCAATATGTGCTATAATTGCATGCATTAATTGCTAGTTTTTGTCACAGTTGACAAAATCAGACTACCAAATCTGTCCTTAATGTTTATACATTGCATGTCACAATGTGTGCCTATGAAAAAAAAAAGTGTACTTTTATATGCGAGAATACCTGTATTGAGTTAACTTCTTTGTCTATTTGACTGTATATTATCAATTATTTAAATTTAGAGTTGAAAAACTCATAGCTCTGCTATTTGTGAAAAACTTTATGGCACCATTTTTGTTTTTTTGTTTTGGATTTTTTTGGTTAAAGCTTATGTTGTTACCTTCTTTGATTTAGTGCCTAATTAACAGTTTCGATTTGAATTTACTATGTGAGCTCTAGGTTTTAAAACCATAATGAATCAAAATTCTTATGGTTTGGACATTAGGCTTGGGTTAGGGTTTTATTATTAACTAAAGGGTATTACTGGCAATTAGTGAAATTTTAGTCAATGGTTCCGTAAGTGCTGTTGAATTGAATTAATATAAGAAGACCCTTGTTTTATTTTTGAATTAATCAACCATTGCAAGACTCCATTAAACATCACCATTAATTGCAGCTAAACAAGTACGAGGTAATAGGACCCTTGTTTTATTTATTTATTTTGCTGGTTTATGATAAATTCTGGAGTGTACTACCTGTAAGTCTTAACATAAACTCTATTAAGCAATCTTTACCACTTTATTTTTTATCTCAGACTAGCAACTCAAAATTTGTTATTCCAGCCTTATTCAAGGGCATTATTATTAGGAATACCCATTTTAAACGTTATGGTTCCATAAAAAAAAAAAACTTATATTAATTGTATGAATCAAAATCCGTGCCAGCGTTGGTTATGTCTTAAGTGCAATGGTTAAAGCATTGTGTTACCTTGAATTTTCATCCGGATGAGCCATCATTAACCAGCTCATTTAGTTGTCCAAAAGGAAAAGTAAATCAATCTTACTTGACAAGGAGTGTGGTTATATAGTTTATCATATTTTCATATCATATTGTCGTTCTGCAGGGAACTGTCTACTGTATTCTTGCTGTTGCTGCCCTCCTCAACATCCTAGCGTTTCTTGTCACCAGGAAACACTGCTTTCTGTATTTCGGCATTGCTTTTACTGTTTCAGTCGGTATATATTTGGGATTTTATCGTTCACAGATTAGGAAGAAGTTTAACATCCAGGTAATCATTTCTGTCCACAGTTTCGCTTGATCCTTTACTAGGTGTTTCATTTGTTCAATATATTTCCTTCCAATCATTCATCAAATTATTTGTAAGGCTAAATGGCACTTTTATGTCTCCAGAATGTCTTTGTCAATATCTGGAATAAAAGGGAGCTTCTTATTTAACAGATGTCTATAATAGTATAATTGAACTTGAGAAGCAATAGACTTAACAATCCCTGCTTTTTTCTATACCTTTTTTTTTTCAGCTTATGTAGGCTTTGCCTTCTGGAGGATTTTGTCGTCCCTTAAATTTCTCTTCAATCTGATGTATGGTTGTTATTATCTTATGGTACACGATATGATACTTACGATACGTTTTGATGTAGGACGAAAGCGATATGTTTTGTTTAAGTGTATCTTTGTACAATTATTTTTTGATATAGGATACATATCATATGATAGATACTATTTGATATATTGTACAATATGATACGTGTCGTATAAGTTCCGAATAGGAGAAAATAACAAAAAGAGAAAGAAAGATAAATGTCCTATACACACACACACACACTAGGGGTTTTCCGTACCTGAAGTCATGGGTGCAACGTAAACCTAATAAAGTCATGAGGTAAGTGAGAAGTGATGGATTTGGTGGGGGAAATTCAATGTGAATGGTTGAGAGGGATATTGGTGGTCATTGGATTAGTTTATTTGAGACCGTTAGATGAATTTATTGAAACCTACCCTGTTTTATATATATATATATATATTAAATTTGTTGTCTCATTCAATGATTGTAAGATTTTATATAATTTGTATTGTCTCTATGTGGAGCCTAGAAATGTTGTCAAAAAATTAGAAAACTGAAGGAAAGCAAGTAATAGACGTAAAAACTTTTTGGCATCCAATGATGAAGATACTTATACCGTTGAAAGTAGAAACTAAAGAACACGATGAAAATGTGATTCGTAAGACTATAAGAACGGATTGTTTTGGATTTTGCTAATTTAAAATTTTTATATTGATGAAAATTACGTAAGTACACATATGTTTAAATATATGTTTAAAAACATTAAGCGTATCTTATAATACACGATATGTTATGATACATAATACACTATTCTACACGGTTTGACAACCTTGATTTTATGTGAATGCTTGATAATCTATTTTAATGCTATAAAAGCAGCTTGTACTGTTTTTCAAACATTATGCAAAACATAAAACACCAAGTCAATTTCTACAGAAATCAGAACACGATAGGTTGTAGCCATATCTATAAGCACTGGCAGAAAACCTCAGCATTCCAAGAGTGGTCTGGATTTATTTTCTTTGCAGATCACATCAGTGATTCCTCTTTAAAGTCTGAAATTTTAATGATAAATAACGCAGTAGATGATCACATGGAAGGTGTCGCCAAAACAAAACCCACACCCAACATCCCTTCCCTTCCCAACAAATCCACCCTCACATGATGTTTCATTCTTTCTTTTTTCTTTTGGTTGGTGGTCAAGAGTAAGAATCAATTTTTAGACTCATCTTACCCTTACAGAAGGGAAAGTACAGCTGATTTCCTCTCTGTTTCTAAGGTACTTATGGTCTGACAGTGGCTTAGGATAGGTTGTTTCCACAGATAATGAGGCAATCCTCGATCATCCCTGTATACTTCACTGCTGAACTCTCTCTGTATTTTCTTATTTGCATTTGCTTTGGATGTCCATAATTTGTCTGTGTCCCCAAAATTTTTACGAGATCCTGTCCCACTTTTTGAACCTGCTTCGACGCTTTATTCTTCCAGGTAGTGTTTATTCATCATCTTTTTCTATGATGCCTGCCATACCCTCTGTTTCCTACCTTATGTTTTTGATACGCCTGCAAGTGATGCTGCAAGAAAATATAGCCTAACCACCATAAGGAGGAAATATGCAATGAGGCTGTCCTAGCTTTTCTGATCTGCTGAATAATAATTTCATATCATGTCTAGTATCTTTTCTACTTCAAGCTTACCTTACACCCCTTTGTTTGGAAATACTCAATCAAGAAGTACACCGAGTTCTTTCGATTTTGCTTCCTGTTGCACTATCACCATTTCAACCATATCCTTTTAGCGTATCCAAAATTCTGGTGAATTAACTTTATGCTGTGTGCGTTGAGAGTGGTTCAAAATCACCAATTTTAGATTATTTTAATTGCACTTTGTACTCCATAATCATGACTGTCCTTCCTGACTTCTCCTTTATGTACCATGAAGTTGTGGAAATTTTCTTATGAATTTTTGTGAACATGACCTTCTATTTGAGTGCCGTTATAGTCAGCTTTTTTTTTTTTTTTGGCATACGGGCACCTCATGGGAATATGTTCTTCTGCAGGGTAGTGATAGTTTTTTGGATGATTGTCTCTACCATCTAATTTGCCCTTGTTGCACTCTCTGTCAGGTTAGTCCTCTTGTGCTAAGGCGTTTGCGTAATATTTAAATTGCTGATAACTTTTATAGCACCATGCAACACTGAATGTGTTAGTTTTTACCCCTTCCTAATGCGTTAGTGTTATATTGGGTTTTTGACATAATTTCCGCAATACATTCTTTTCCCTGGAGCAGGAATCTAGAACATTGGAGATGAACAATGTTCAAGATGGCACATGGCATGGTCGAGGTGACACTATACGCATAGGAGGCTGTGGTGAAGGTAGCAAATCATTTTTCGAGCTGAGCCCACATCCAGTTATGCCAATGAAGTGTCCTGAACCCTGTAGCGTGTGAAGAAGTGCAAATGTTAGTGAACACTCAAGGAGTTATAAAGCTGGGCATTTAACACTTTTGTCTCGACGTCCCATTAGCAGCCAGATCTCTGAATTATGTAGACTCCCAAAATGTTTGCTTCCTTTGGAGGAATTGTTTGCAGGGCACGGTGGATAAAAGTTACGGGTTTCAGCATTTCAGTTTCAGGGATCACCAACTTAAGCATAGACATCTGTTGCTCGGCCAAAGAGCACCGTGTTTTCCTAAGGATTGGACGAGAGATGTTTGAAGAGTTAATAGGCAAGAAGGAAGCTGTGTATGTATTCATATTCATGGGTGATTGGAAGAGCCCCTTTTCTTAATGTATGTATTCATTGTATTATAATGGTAGAGATGCATCCTTCTTGCTACAATCATTTCAATTTATGGTTGCCCCCGCCCGCTTGTATTGTTTTGGGATTGGTCCATTTATCGAATGATATTTGAGGCAATGAAATTAGGTAATATTTAGGGTGATTTCTACTTTGTTCCTTTTTTTTATTTTTTGTTACTAATTGTCAAGTTATTTTTGGCTCTGTACATGTATGCCACTCATTTTCTTCACCAAAGTGCATTGCTGAAGATGGGCTTGGAATGAAATTCACTTTGTTGACATCCTTTATGCAGCATAATCTTTTACAGTTTAGTTTAGATCATGCGTGTTAGTGTGGGAACAGGTGGTATCGCTTACTTGCTATGGTTTTTAAGTTCTAAATTCCATCACCCCGGCACATCCAAGCCCTAGTAATTGCCTCTGTTTTACGCTTACCCATTGCAACTGCTGTTACTGTTAAGAGTATGGGTTCAACCATGACATTCCTGCTAAGGGGTTCTATGAACTACATGTATGAGTGTAGAAAAGCTTCAATTTGTGCTCATTCATGCTTGCTCATCAGAATGTGCACAATATTGTTCTCACTTGTGCATGTGTGCAATTTTCAAGTGCTGTAACCGTTGTATCTTGAAGGAAAATTTGTTGTACCCCAGCGCACACTGGTTTGCCGGAATTGGTGGGGGCGAATATTGTCTTACGGAAAACGACTCCGTAATGCAATTTAAAGCGTAGTTGTCATCATCTACCATCACTGATACTTCTGCACCAAGACTAGAGCATCTGTTGCTTGGAATGGTGCAATGGTAAAAAGGATGTGATGAGAGTTGTTTGAATTTCCATAGGCATGAAGGAGGGAGTGATGTATTTATTCCAAATCTATGGGGTGATATTTAGACGACGAATTCATGTAATTTTGAGGGTGATTCTTACTCTGTTCCTCTACACAGCTCATTTTATCCCCCACTGGAGATGGCTTGTAGTTTAACTGAAAAACATGGTCCATAACCATAATAGTGCTTAACAGCGAAACAGATTTCATGTAACTGACCCCAAACATGTCCGTATAAGGTTTTGTTGAGTAGAATAGAGTAGTAGTGCTGGAGATGGCTTGGCAAAGAAAATTCACCTGGTTTAACATTCGTCATGGAGTGTATACCTATTACTATTTTATTTAAACTAAAGTCTAAATTCCTAGTAGTCTTTTAACCAAAATGAAAGACAACCTATTTCAACAATTGCGGTCAATCTCGCTACTTCTTTAGTTGCCACCTGTTACTTGCTCAATAATGGGGGTTCGTGCTTTAGCACTTGGATTTCACCTAACAAAATTTCATCAATGTACTTTTGTATTAAGTCTTTGATCATAAATTCATTACTTGCATACCCGGACTTTCGTTTAACTATTTGATTGAGGCCCCTTTTTTAAAGCTTGTCAATCATCCCTTTCTTTTTTTTCTTAGCAAAAATAAAAAAATTTCTTATTGACTTCATTGATGCATTCACTTTTTTGAAGCAATGTCAAATTCTCACCCTCCACGATTTCATCAAAGATCTTATTGATCTCACAAAAGATGTCTTCCTTCGTTTGATAGTACTATCACAATCCTTGGTGAAGGCGATTCACGATAGAATCGCGCACAATTCCCTTTGATCAAGATGTGAATGCATATCCATGTTGCGCTTGTCCTGTTTTGATATGCTATTGATTGCCTCTTCCACTGCCCAAAATGGCTATGGTTTTAAGTCCTAATTATATCTCCTCAACACCCCAGGAAAGGGTGTCCATGAGCCGGTTTATCCGGGTTCAATTATCTGGTTCGAAAAAATAAGTTCAAAACTCGACAAGTTTAATAGTTGGCCCGTTTGAGCCGGAGCTCAATATCTTTAAAAAGAGTGTTTTGGCCTGCCCTCCAAACTCATTACCCGCCCCAAAAGTCTGCTCCCAAAAACTCGATCAAATCCGGCCCAAGAACCTACTCGACCAGCTCAGTCCGTCCACCATTCATTTGAAAAAAAGTTAGATCGTTAAACTATTGAATTTGAAGCTTTAAAATAAGTCTCTCAATGCCGGATTTGATATTTTAAAATTTTAGATACTAGAAATAATGTATTATTTTCTTTTTCATGTATTAAACCCACATGTTTTAAAAAATAGAATTGTGCAAATGATAGATAGGTGGGTAGGTGTCAACCTAATTGGGGTGTGTTCATTCTATTGTGATTTAGTTCCTCCCCTATTCATAAATTAAATTATTCATTATTTACTTTTCGTTCATTTTGACTCTACTTTAATTCAAAAATATAGTTTACAAAAATAATCATTATTTTTAAATGAAGTTGTATATAAAAAAAACCCGCAGCATGCTCGCCCAATAGAATTGCAGGTTGGACTGCAGGTAGCCTACCCCTAACTAAAGCCCGACTCGGCCCACTTTATAAGTCACCATACCCATGCCCAGCTTGACTTGGTTCGCTCGATAATTCACCCTACCCATGCCCAGTCCGACTCGACTTGCTCAATAATTCACCATACTCATGCCTAGCTCAAAAAAAATTTTGCGAGCCTAACCCGTCTCGGCCCATGGACACCCTTAACACCAGGGACCCTAGAAATTGCCTCTATTTCAATGGGTTGTTGTTACTATAAGGGCATGTTTGTTTCATGATTTTAGGTGGGTTTCATAGAGTGAGTTTTGTCAAAATAATTCAATATATCACTTTATTCCTTGTTTGGTTATAAATTTTAGAGGCGGAATTTAACTCTCCACCCATAACTAGGCCACAAATAAAATCCATGTATACGAGTTTCAACAAACCCGTGGGATGGTTGGGTTTAGGCAATTTCAAAGCAAATATATGATGATATTTGCAATTAATATGTGAGTTTCATGTGTATTTGTGTCACTTGCCAAACAAAACCTAAGGGATGGGTTTAGAAGGGTTTCATAAATTCAATCAAATTCCTATCTTAAAAATCATCCAAAAAGATAGTATGGATTTAGCTGTGACATTGACTCCAATGGGTTTTATGCAGGGTGGGCGGAGCCTGAAGTTCTTCACAATGGGAGCAACCATTGAATTGAAGAAAACAATCGGATAGCTAACATCAATATTCATTGCACTTCTCAAATGAATAGTTAATTGGCTCGTCAACGATTAGATTTTGATCGAATTTCAATTTATTTAAATCCGATTTGAATCCAGCAAATAAATTTCTTTTCAGTTCATATCTGAACCTTTTAAAAAAAGTAAAAATCGATTTGATCCAAATAATTAAAGCAGAGTTTAATTTTAAAAAATTACATTTCAATTTCATCACGATATCGATAAATAATAATTAAATTTTAATTAGTATATATATAGATATGTGTATGCAATCATATCGGATCAATTTTGGTATATTAATCATACCGAAGTTTTTCAATTTTTTTGGTTCAATGATCAGAGATGTTCAAACCAACTTACGCTCATCTTGACTAATGTTTTACCGAAATTTTCCATTGAATAATCATCGTAGTTGCTAGTTTGGGGGTGGTTGACCTACTTTGCCCAATTTTTGTCTTAAATCCACTTATAACTAGCTAATATTGATTTTCCAATAAAAATTCAATAATTAATCGGTTAATATGATGATATTGGAAACTGGTATATTTTTATAAAATTTTAATTAATCCCAAAATTATAATTTGGTTCATCCTTGACTAATTGCATAGTTTATTATCAAAATTCTAAATAATGTCTAGATGGCATAATTAAAAAGCTGCAATGGGGTTGTAAGGGTAATTTGGTCTCTTTAGTACAATTTTGGAGGCAAAAATGTCTTTGAATCCTAACTTTACTATAGAGGGGTTTTTTTTCGTATTATATAAAAAAAGATGACAGCAATTTTGACCAGTATTCTTATTTCTGGCTATTATAGATTTTAAATATCAAGGGAACTTGATTTAATTTTTGAAATTTGAGAAGATCTTCGTATAATAATATCAAATGTCAGGGATCAAGGTGAAATTTACCCAAAGAAATTGTGGGGATCTAAATTCCTTGTGTGCGTGTGTCTGTGTGTGTGTTTATTACATTTTGACGATAATAATAGATTAGGATAACTAATTGAATCACATGACAGTTTCTCAATGATATTATTATAAAAAGAACATAAGAATATATAAAGAGAGAGATCCCCAAAAAAGAAAAAGAAAAAGAAAAAAGAGATGAAGAACAAAGAAAAATTCACAAAAGTAAAAAATAGAAGAAGAAGAGAAGAAAAAGAAAGAAAGCACAAGTTCAATGGAAGAAGTTAAGAATAAGTATCAAATCCTTTGGGTATTTAGTTTAGGTGTTAGATGAATCAAAGTTTTAAGAACTTATTATAAATTGGGTGTCTATATAATAAATTTAAATGTTAGGAATATATATATATATATATCTTTCTTTCTTTCTTTCTTTCAGTTCAATGATGATAGAGTTAACTATCTATTTAGCCCTTGAATTATACCATTTGTGTCAACCAATAAAATCAAATGTCAAAGATCAAGGTGAAATTTATCCCGGGATCAAAATCCCTTGTTTGTCTATTTATTTCATTTTGAAGATAATGATAGGTTTGATAATTAATTGAATAATGATAATGTCTCAATGATATTATTATAAAAAGGACATAAGAATATATAAGCAAAAGATCCTCAAAAAAAAGGGAAAAAAAAAGAGATAAAGAAAAGGTTCAAAGAATAAAAAAATAAAATAAAACAAATAAAGAAACGCAGGTTCAATGAGAGAAGTTAAGAATAAGTATCAAATGCTTTAGATGATTAGTTTAAGGATCTAATTCATTGCGGTTTTTAGATTAATTAGAATTTTAAGACACTGTTACAAATTTTAAACATAAAGGGTCTCGGTATAATTTCTAAAATTTGAGGGATCTTTGTACAATAAAATCAAATATTAGTGATCCACGTGAAATTTATCCAAAAAATATTTGCGGGGATGTAATTCTCTTTTTTTGTATGTTCTTTTTTTCATTTCAATGGTAATAATAGATTATGATAATTTATAAAATAAAAAAATTATGTCTAAATGTTACTGTACAAAGAATAGACGAATATATAAAACAAGAGATCCCAAAAAAGATTAAAAAAAAAATAAAGAAAAAGGAAAAGGTAAAATAAATAAAAGAAAAATAAATTATAAAGAAGTGCAGGTTGAATTAGAGAAGTTAAGAACAAGTATATAACCCCTCAAGGAATTCAATTTAGTGATCGAGCTCATTGCAGTTATTAGATTAATCGTGGGTTCCCATTACAAAATTTAAATGTTTAGGGGTCTGTGTATAATTCTTAAAATATCAAGAAATCTCTATTTAATAAAATCAAATGTCAAAGATCCATGTGAAATTTACTCAAAAAATATTTGTTTTGTATGTTTCTCTTGTTTTAATGATAATTATAAATTAGGATAATTTATAAAATGAAATGATTATGTCCAAATGATATTACTGTCGAGGAAGATAGGAATATAAACCAAGAGATCCATAAAAAAAAAAAGACAAAAAAAATAGATAAAGAAAAAATAAAAGATAGAAAAATTAAAGACAAATAAATTATAAAAAGTGCAGGTTGAATTAGAGAAATTAAGAATAGTATAAAATCTTTTGAGGAATTTAATCTAGAGACCTAGTTCATCGTAATTATTAGATAAATGGTGAGTTTTAAGACCTCGCTAACATTTTTAAATGTTTAGGGTTTTTTTTTTTTGCATGATAATAGATTGAGATAATTAATTGAATTAAATGACTATGTCTTGATGAAATTATTGAAAAAAAAAACATAAGAATATATAAAGCAAGGGATCCCAAAAAAAGAAAAAAAGAAAAAGTTAAAAAAGGAGAAGAAGAAGTAAGGAATGTTGGTTGAATGAGAGAAGTTAAGAATAATTATCAAATCATTTTGGTATTTAGTTTAGAGTAATATTATTTAAATTTAAAAATCTGATATAATGGTGTGATTTTATTATAATCGTTGAATTGACACTTAATTTCAATATTTTATGAGATCTACAATCAATCCAAAGGGTTATATTAAATTAGGTCCAAATAACAATAATCTTTAGTTTATAGATCTAATTCATCGTAGTTATCATATTAATCAAAATTTTAATACCTTTTACAAATTTTACATGTCAAGGGTTTCAATATAATTTCTAAAAATTGAGGGATCTCTTTATAATAAAATCAAAGGTCAAGAATTCATGTGAAATTTACCCAAAAATATTTGCTGGCATCTAGATCCTTTTTTTTTGTATATTGCTTTCGTTTCAATGATAATAATAGATTATGATAATTTATAAAATCAAATGACTATGCATAAATGATATTACTCTACAAAGAAGTAAGGAATATATAAAGCAAGAGATCCTAAAAAAAAAAGATGAAAAAGGGATAAAGAAAAAGAAATTAGGTGTAAGAATCCAATAATTAAAGGGCTAAAAAAATACGCGCGCGCACATACATACATACATATATATATATATATATATATATATATAAATTAGTTTAAAAACTTAATTAATACACAACATAGATTAGGGTAATCAAGGTGGGGCTTAAATACGGTCGTTAGGAGTTTGAATGTTGGGTAAATAGTTGTGTAGTTGATGAATCACCATGTCCGTCGAGACACCTCTACCACCACCATCCTCTGAGCTTCTGTCAATGTGGCCCCCTCTTACCACCTTCACACTCTGAGCTTTTTTTTTTTATCAAACACTTCTGCCAAAGAAATTGTGGAAGAAAACACCCATAGCAACACCATGCCCATCGACACACCTCCACCACCACCGCCTTCTGAGCCAACACCACCACCACCACAACCACCACCATCCTCTGAGCCACCACCATTATCATCCTCTGAGATACAACCACCATCCTCTAAGCCACTACCACCGTCCTTTGATATACAACCACCACCATCCTCTGAGCCGCCACCACTATCATCCTCTGAGATACATTCACCATCCTCTGAACCACCACCACCACCATCCTCTGAGATACATCCACCATCATCTGAACCGCCACCACTGCCATCATCAGAGATGCAACCACCATCCTCTAAGCCACCACCACAGTCCTCTGAGAAACCACCATCCTCTGAGCTGCCACCACCATCATCCTCTGAGATACAACCACCATCATCTGAGATGCAACCACCATCCTCGGAACCACCAGCACAGTCCTCTGAGAAACCACAATCCTCTGAGCCGTCACCACCATTATCCTCTGAGATACATCCACCATCCTCTGAGCCACCATCGCCATCATCCTCTAAGATACAACCACCATCATCTGAACCGCCACCACCATCATCTGAGCCGCCACCGCCATCATTTGAAATGCATCCACCATCCTCGGAGCCACCACCACAGTCCTCTGAGAAACCACCATCCTCTGAGCCGCCACCACCATTATCCTCTGAGATACATCCACCATCCTCTGAGCCACCAAAAAAAAAACTGGTTTCCTCCATTAGAGACAAGATCAAGAAGTTCTCATATTGCTTCGCTTCCAAGGACAAACACCAGTCAGTTAACCAACATAGCCAGAGCGACAACAATAGCAGCACTAGAATCCATGGTGAAACAATCAAACTTTGCAACTTGATAACTACTGATTTAGAGGACATGAAGAAGGCATTGACGAAGCTCGAGGAGCAGAAAAAATATGTGGATAAACAAGTCGACGATGCATCCGTGGAATTGGAGCAGTTCCAAAAGGATCAAAAGGTGGAAGAACTTCGCAAATTAAAGAATACCGTGACCAAATTGAAGATTAAGGTCTCTCCACATTTCAAGATTGATGCAAAAGAAAAAGACCCCATCGGAATCAACAATTAGATGGTGCTATGAGAGGCACGGAAGAAGTGCTCAAGAAAATGCCTCAATTATACGAGGCAAATACCTTTAAGAACAGCTTGGAATTTCAAAATTTGTTGGCAAGTTACCGTGAGCTCAGCATTGAAGAGAAGCTTTGTTTGTTGTGTTTTTCGGTGTTCCCTGAAGATGCTATTATAAAGAAGAGGCTCATGGTCTATTGGTGGATTGGAGAAGATTTTGTATCGCCATCCGCAAAGGGCAGTGATCCGAAGAAGGAAACCGCGGAGGAACATGGCAAAGAGTTCTTCGACAAGCTTATGAAATTGGGCTTTATGGAGCCTGTCAATGAGAGGCGGAGTCAAGTTGTGGGCAGTTGCAGAATGAACCCTTTTATTCGTAATGCAGTAGTTACACTTGCTGCTGAGGCCAAGTTCTTCGACTTTGATCATAAGGGATATCCAACTGTGGAATTCTTGAAATCCTACCGTGCGTGCTTATCAGGGAAAGGGTTAGTAAATATACCAGAATTGGAGAAACTTCATATGTTGTTCAATGTCAAAGAGGCTTATCTTGAATTTAAGACAGAATGGTTGTTGAAGATGAGCAATGTCAATGTTCTTTATCTGGGAAGGTGGCAGGCCTCGGCCACTCAGCATGTTGAAGTTGAGGACACCGAGTTTTTGGAAGGCTTGGAGAATATGAAACATCTGAGATTTTTCAGCCTTCAAGGAATCTCTGGAATCACTGAGGTTCCCGAATCCATTTCGAAGCTCACGTGTTTGAGAATCTTGGATCTCAGAGCCTGTCATAGTCTTGAGGTGCTTCCAGAAGGAATTGGGTTGCTTGAGAATTTGACACACTTGGACATGTCTGAGTGTTACTTGCTTGAACACATGCCCAAGAAGCTTGCGAAGCTCTCCAAACTCCAAGTCCTTAAGGGGTTTGTAGTTGGAGATACGAAGGACAAGTACTCATGTACTCTAGACGATTTGGCAAAACTACCAGATCTCACAAAATTGAGCATTTACACAGGTATGAAGAGCTTCCCCACAAATGAACATGTGAGTGCTCTCGCAAAATTAAAGAGACTTCTCAAGCTAACAATTGCATGGGGAGGAGGTGCTTTGCAAGATAAAGCAGACCACAAGCTTCCCATGGCGAAATCAGATGATGGAGAAGAAAAGAAGAAAGAAAATGGATTAATAGACACTGCCAAGAAACGAAAAGTAGAAAGATCTCTGTCCATCCTACCTACCATGAAGCTTCCAACGCCTCCACCACCTCCACCACCTCCGACACTTCCTTCAAGGCTGGAGAAACTAGACCTCAAGTGTATTCCTGAAAGAAAAACAGAAGGTTGGCTTAAGCCTGCCAATCTGAAGGGCCTGAAGAAACTGTACATCAGAGGAGGAAAATTCTTTGATCTTGGTCAGTTTCAGGAACTTGATGATGAGGTGGTGAAGGAGAAGGACAGCTGGAAAGTAGAGCAATTGCGTCTCAAGTACTTGACTGAATTGGAGATGGACTGGACAAAATTGCAGGAATTATTCCCCAAGTTGATTTACCTGGAGAAAGTAGAATGCCCTAAACTCAGTTTCTTTCCATGTGATGAGAGTGGAGTGTGGAGTGTGGATGAACAAGACACCGCCAAAGTAGAGGTAAACGCAGAGTAAGAGATAGCGTTGCGAATTTGTAAAAAAAAAAAATTTCCTGTCAGATTGTCAATTTTCTGTCCAATATTCTGGGCGAATTTTATTTCTTATGTCCTTATTGATGTAATATTTATGGTATTCACATTGTTGCAATTTTTTCCTACCTAGTAGAGTAGTAGTTCTGGAGATGTATGTTTCACTTGGCATCAGAGACACCTAAATCATGCCTCGAGCCCTTATGATAACTTTTATGAAGATAGCTACCAGTATAAGAAACATGGAGCATGACTGGTAACAAGAGTTCATGGTTCTAACTTCTAATGTGCTTTCTTGTTCACTGACAGACAGAGAAGTTCCTCTGCATAAATAGCAGATGACGTTATAGCTTTATAACCGATAAATATGCTACGAAATTTTGAAGATTAAGTTCAGTGTAGACCAAATTCAGTAAATTAAAGAAGCTTTTGACACAAGATAGGCAATCTGGACGGTTGCATGGTCCATGGTCCTTGGTTAAAACCTGTGTATATCTAACCCTCTTTAAACCCATCAATGGCGAGAGTCTTGTGCACTGGGTACACCCTTTTTTATCTATTCCCAATCCTGCTTGGAATGCTTAATCTGCTGACTTTAGTTGAATTCAGCGGATGTTTATAATCCACCCAAGTACACCAAGCTGCCATAAATTGTTTGATTTTTCCCATAGTAGGATTAATTTTTACCAATGCCGGCAGATTGACACCCTATCTAAGAACTCATTTCACAATTATTTCGGCATCTCATTCCTTGCAGCAATCGTCTGATCTTGAAAAAACTTATATTCTACTGGAGGAACATTAGATTTCTCAGAAGGGTGTAAAGCCATGCTTAATTTGACAACTTCCATTGCAACAAGTCTTAGCTTTTGAATCTCAATCAATGCGATGCGCAATTTGAACTCATTTTAGAACCATAGGGGCCTTGCCTAATGTGGGCAATACTTTGCAGTGATGGGTCCATTAGAGCTGGCATCAGTTGGAAATATGATGTGGGTAGCACATAAGAATGTGCGACACTTAAAGGAGATCGATTATGCATGGTTACCAATATCCATGAACCAAGACACTTGAGAATTAGGATTAAGATAGATAAGGTAAGGTGAGAGTTTGAAGTTTATGTAATGGCATTTATTTATGAAGTCCGTTGAAGTTCTTTATAAGGGAAAGTTTTGTGGTTTTGTCCGTTTTAAAACTGATGGGGCAGACTAATGTGGGTGAACAGAGTGCGTGGGACCAACGGTGAAGTTAGACTGTCAACTTCGTAATGGCAGTGATGAAGTATTTCTTAGGGGATAGGGGAATTTGTACAGTAAGAATATAGTGGTTCACCGGCTCTGGAGCTCGGCTAATCTACTCTCAAATGGAGGCTCTTGCTCCTTTTTTTTTCTCTATTGATTATTTGAATATAATACAAGACAGTGTATAATCCAATTAGGGTTCTTTTTTGCTCCTTCTATCAATGAGGCCTTACATAGTATTTATAAGGTTGCCCCCTATTCTGTGGGATTTTAACCGAGATCTTTGCCCATTATTCATGGGATCCTGCTTGATTTTAGGAGAGAATCTTGGTTGGTTGAGAGTTTCATGCATATGGCCTAATTTTCGCAGTCATCCAACTGTTTCCTGGTCGGTTCTACTACGATCTCCCCAAGGGGAGCTCTACCCCTTATTATCTGAGTTTCTAGTGTCTTTTCCGACCTCCTGACCTGACTTGAGCTCATAGCTAGGACTTGTTTGAGATATCATCAAAAACCTTTCTGTTCGTTTTTATCACACTTTTTTTGGTTCATGATCACCATTTTTCCATAAACTGCAAGATCTGAAAATGATAGAGGCTGGAGAGAGGAGAGAAGAGGAAGGGTATGGTTAAGGGAAAGAGAAAGCTCAGAGATGCTACGTTTTCATGGTGTGGCATTGTCATTGGTGTTAGATCAAATTAGTGGTGGTTTAGGAGTAAATATTGGGTGTAAATGTTGAACCACCTGAACATTGTCGTGTGGTATAATCGTTCAATATTATCTCATCAAATGAACAATGTAATCCCACTTTTTTTCACATGAGTGGTTACTATCCTACGCACATCGAATGATGGTTATTTGCATGAGTGATACCCATTTTTTTTCTATTTGGTGAGTTAACATTGGACGGTTACATTACGTGATAATGTTGATGTGATGTAATCGTTACACTCAATATTTACTTGTGAAGTTGAATTCTCGATCTATAAAAACACTATAACGGTCAAGATTAGTCCAATTTTTACTTACTTTAATTTAATGGTACAAAATTTATCATAATTTTTTTTTCGCTGAAAAAATCAACTCGACCAAAATACATTCTCCAATTCTAGAGTATCAATGCTATTTAGATCTAATTTATTAACATAATTTATTAACCTAATTCATTATATAACTATTGGATTGACTGTGAGCTCCATTAAATATGAGAACTTGATGTTAATTCAACGGTTACAATAACAATACATCATTAAGTCAAAAAATTAAGTCAAATTTTTAGGTCTAGAACCTCCCAAAGGATAATGCTACTAGGAACTTATTTCTTTACCTAAATCACGAGAAAATATTTAATGTAATCAATGATGACAAGATATCACCAATCAATAATAAATCTTTAAATTAGTAAAGTGAACCCTACTTTGACAGTTATTAACTTACAAAAAAAAAAAGAGTGGGTAATTATTTGTTTACATGTAAGGCTGTCAATTTTTAACACGACACGAACCGAATACAAAATTAATAAGTCCAATACGAAATTAAACGAGTCATTGGTTAAAACAGATCAATACGCTTAAACACAAAAAAAAAATCATGTCAGGTTTATGTCAAATCAGGTCAACCTAATTTTGATCTGATTAACCCGTATATTTTTAACGAATTGACATGATTCGGATACGAACCCAACCTAACCAATTGTAGACCCGTTTAACTCGTTTATGATAATATAGTTTATCTATTATGTATGACTAATGTAGTATTAATATTATTATTTATTAGTTTTTGTTTCTACTATGGTAATTAACAGTATAGTTTTTACTTTAATTTTTGAGTCGAAATTTGAATGCATTTTAGTTAATTTTATTGATGAGATGTGATATGCTAATTGTAAAAAAATTGTTTGAAATTTTGGATGAATGATTGAATGTTGTATTTAATGATAAAACTGGTTATGTGTGTTAACCATGTCTGTATTTTGTGTGTTAATCAGGTTAAACAAATTATATTATGTATATTAACCAAAAAATGACCTGTTTATTAAACGTCTCAAACATGTCGAGTTCGAGTAATCCGTTTAATGACCAGGTCAGGTTAGTGTTTATACATCTGAACACGATTATTAAATATGTCAGGTTCACGTTTTGAGATTTTTGACACAAACTCGAAAATAACCCGACACAAAATGACCTAACCAGACAAGTTTGACACCCCTACTTGCATGGACAAATAGTTATTAGTTTATGTGAAGTCCAAATAAAATTAGATCTGTGTTTATAAATTTTTGGACATCATTCCTTTGTAAGTTGGTTTTCAAGTCAAGTGCCATCCATAAGTTTATAATAATTGGTATCAAGCATGGGAGTATTGGATCAAGCACAGTCTCATCTATGACTCTTTGTGGTCGAGTAACAAAAATATTGACTTATAAATTCGATTTAGATGACTTAATATTATATATGAGCATAATGTTATCTCATGGAGATCGACTGCGAAAACGTGATGAAATGTTACGATATTACATTGGTTAAAAATAAAATTAGATATGTGTATATGAACTCTTGAACACCATTCTCTTCCAAATTAATTTTCAGGTATAAGTTCTCCATGACCGTACTCATCCCCACATCATCAGGTGAGTAGTTTAGGTCAAAAATTAAGGTCTCAATAGCATTACCCTCCACTAAATTCATTTTGATGATACTTAGAATAATTTTCAATTATGAACTCAGGAACGGAGGTCAGACAAGCAGGCCAGACCAAGAGGTTAGGGAAGACACGTAGAGCTCAGAGGATCAGAGTTAGAGCTCCCCCCTAGATGTGATAATAACGGAAATGATAAGGGAATAGCTGGATGATAATAGAATTATTACAGGTGGCAAAGAACTATATTCAAGGCACAAAATCCTTAACCAGCCAAAATCCTCTCCTAAGATCAAGGAGAGTTCCTCGGATAAATGACAAGGATCTCAATGCAGAACCCGCATAACTAGGGGCAGCCCTATAAATACTATGTAACGCTCCCAAGAGAGGGGATAGGCTAGTAACATACAATCGGTCTTGTAAACCTTTCAGAGGATCAATAAAAAAAAAAGAAGCAAAAGCCTCCATTAAAGAGTGGATTAGCCGACCTCCAGAGCTGGTGAACTACTATATGTTTATTGTGTCAATTCCCTAATTTTTCCCTAAGTACCAATCCTTGTTCTTTTGAGCCTTATAGCTCTGATCCTAATAGTCACACACGACTCATCTCATCTGTTCAATATCACAAAGTTGCACCACGTTGATTTACACCATCAGTTTGGCACCGTCGGTGGGAAAGATTGTTCCTGTTACAAATACGTTGATCTTTCAGTGATTGGTGGTCTTAACTCGCAGCATGAGCAAAAGCCAAACAAACCTACCACGAATGCAAGACCAACAGGAAGCAACTAACGATAGATAGCCCGAGAATGTCCCAGAGACTAATCTTCTGTGACACCCCATAATCCGGGGGTCCGTTGATCACCCATCAACCCGCGGAATACCCGTAAATACCGAGTGACTCGATATCACACCGTTATGTCCCATTTACCGAGGTCCATAACTTAACAAAATTTGGGCAGAGTCTCCTTTGTACAGGGAACTCTACCCAATACCCAACCTGTGCAACATAACTCACATGACCCATCTGAGGCCCAATATAAACAATGACCGCACCGGGTCCATTTATAAGTAAACATTGACCACACCGGGTCCAATTATCCATATTTATAGCAAAACATGCAAGGTTACTTTAACATTAGTGC